CCGCTAGATCCCAAAAAATCCTACACACTGGTTGAAGTATAAAAGCAAGGAGGCGATTAGCTGGAAGCAGAGGGGAAACAGCTTGCTTGACTTTCTCCACACTGTTGTATCTTGTTTAATCTGTATACAAACAGAAATAAAAGACAATTTGTGGCTTTAGCTGCACAGAAGAACTGGGAAAATGGAGAAATTCTTTGTCAAGAAATAGTTTGCTGCCTACCTTATGTATAGGTTAACTCCCTCCTGCATGTATGTGACACACAGACCAGAGAGTGTTGGATTTTATAGTCTAATGAAATAAAAATGTTGGTGGTGCCTCAGGTATGAAAGCAAACAGTACCCTTAATAATTTAAGTCCTACCGGCAACTAAATACTTAATTTTTAAAACATCTTTCTGAATGTGTATGGTTCTTCCTGTAAAGCATTTTCAAGTAAAAACTTAACAACATTAAAAAATATATATCTTTTTATAGCTCACAAATTCATACAGATAGTGTCCTATTTTAATTTAAAGATCTTAAAATGACTAATAAGTGTTTCTTAAATTAGATTCAGATTCATTGTTTTACAGCAGGCATTTTGACTTGTCATAGCAGGAAACAAGGTAAAACATGTTTAATTAAGGATGGCTCACTTCCGTTACTGTTTCCCAATAAGCCATGACTGTGAGTCAGAAATACCAGGAGCCTGGAACTAGCTCAGCTTAATGGAATGCAGTGGTTTTATTGTTATCAGCTCCACCTGTGCTGTTCCTGCTATGACAAGCTCTGCTGTGAAAAAGGTCTATAAGCAGCTGAACCTGAATGGAATCCTTCAGACCTCTGTCCTATCAGGTTATTTTTGGTCAATCACATGATCCAAGCATTGAATCTACCTAAAATAGAGCTATCTTTGGTGACCTACATGTTCACGTATGACTTTTTCATCTCGAATTTTGAATCTTGTTCTTCTTGAGAGGCTAAATATTTCTCAGCTCCCCCCAACCAGCAGTGGAGGACTGTTGAGCAGCTCCAAGTGTAAAATGTGGAACTGTGTGAATGTGAAGCAGGTTGGGTCTATAAAAAGCATGGTGGTCTGTCAGTTTGACCTTGTGAAAGGTTTAAAATATACCTCCAAGTCAGTTTCCATCATATTTTATTTATATCAGAATGGGAAATTCCCACACACACTTCAATAAAGAGTTACATTTCCCCAGAAGAAGAATCATTACTTTTTTGCAATTAGAGACTTAAAGTAATCACACTTGTATTCCATCATAACTTGACAGTGTAAAATGAAAACGCTGTTTTAAGTATTATGTGCATATAAATGAGAATATTTGAAAGTCATCCAGTATTGAAAGATGTCCAACTCCCACTTTGCCTCAAGGGACCTCAGAAATGATTGTTGTTGAATGTCTGTGGCTTCCCAGTGAAGAGCATCAGAGTGAATGTGTGTATGTGGATGTTAAACATTCCTCCTGCTTACTTTGCTCTTCAACTACTAGGCAAAAACCCACAATCTCATCTAATCAAATTCAAGATTCATTTAATTTGATAGAACATCTAAACAGACTAGAGATTCAGTTGCACACAGGGAACATAAGAAAGACAGCTTTTTATAGGCAGTTAGGTGTAAGAACTGCACACAGGTTCGAGACATGTTGATGGACTGTAAAGTGGAGATGTGAATACCTAACAGCCGAATCGACTTTTCTGCAACATGCAGGGTGAGAAGCAAGAACCTACCCTTAGGGGATTAAGGAAGACTTTCTCCTGCTGCACTAAATTATTGATGGACCACTTTTCCTCTGCACTCAGACACTCCTGCTTTTACCTGGTCCCTTGTTTGATTTAATGATACATTTACGAAGGAGAGTATAAAAAATACTCCTGTGGCATTGCTTTCCAAGATATGGTATATAATAATAGAACTGCTGCACTTTTGCTTTTTGACCACAAGAGGTCAGACTGCTCCTAACCAGCCCTTTCCTCTGTTATGATGAGGAGTACATCTTAATATGTGCTTCAGGGACCTAAAAGAGTCTTTGAAAAGGTTCCAGAGATCATTCATCAATATCAGTATTCCAGAGGGATTTAACAATTTCTGTTCCTTGAGCTTTTCCATGGGTTTGTTGAGGGTTTATCAGTCCCCAAAATGTTTTAATGGACATCTTCCAGCATCCCACGAGGGCATTCCAGGGTCCAAATATATGTTTCAGGGGCACTTGTAGGTTTTCTAGGGTCAAGACGTCCCAAGGTACATGTGGATTCCTGATTTTTGTCTGTTTTCCAAGTTTCCTTCCAGGGATCTATGGAGGACCACTGTTTCGTAGAGTTCCTTTATTGTATTTGAGGGGTTTCTTAAGGAGGTTTTAAGAATTTCAGTAGTCCTTGATGAAGTTTGGGTCTTTTTTTTCTTTCAGTGTTTGGTTTGTGCCTTCTGGGCTACTGTAGAAAAATGGCGGTTCAACATGGCGGACTACAAGGAAGGCAACCCATGGTGTATGTAGATATAAACGGTTCATTCTAAGATAACAAAAACATAACAATTCTTATTTTCAGGTGATTATACACTAATGAAAACATAGTTATGAATTTTATATTCCATTTTCTGCCAATAGATCTTCCTAAATGTTACACACTGGGCCTTTAAAAATTGTGGAGTGGCTTGGTTGCCATGGCAACTCGGTTTTCCCCACAATGGAGGCAAGGGCACTGTTGGAGCAGGTGGTGTCAGCAAAGTTGTAGTTACATTACCCCAGCAGTCACGACAAAAGGAATCTGAGAAAAACAGGGACAACAAGGGCCGTGGAAGGAATATTATGTCAGATTGTTTTATTACAGGTCAGGTGTGTGTGCATGTGTGACAGAGCTAACAAGGTCACAGGATACTGTATATAAAGGTGTGAGCGTTATTGAGTCTGTATGTCTAAATTTCAAGAGTCAGCAGAAACATCATATAAATATACCCCAAAATCACACTGCAAAACAAATGACAAAAAAACTTACTTTTTTATCTCATCCTACAATAAATGTGAAAAATCTTAAAATAAATAAATAAATAAACTTTGTTGCCTACTCATACTCTCACTATAATCTCAATTGTGCATGAGTTTTCTAAATTAGATTATCTATTAGGCTTACAGTATAGATTGTATTAAAAACAGTATCAGTTTGGTCTCAATATAAGCTGTATCACTGGTTCTCAAACCAGGATAAGGATTCAACAACAATCAACAATAAATAATCTTCTTATTAGGAAGCCAGTCGAATGGGTTGGCCTATGCTACTGTATTTTAA